GCCCCGCCACCCCGACGGGTGGGGACAAGGCAGCAGAGCGGCTCGGTCTGTCCCTGTCACTGCAATTTGCTTCTCTCCAGCGAAGCAAAGTCCTTCTCCTCTTGACACGGCTCCAGCCCCAGCAAAGGAGCAGCAGCTCCGGGCGATGCCGCCCGCTTTGCGGGGAGGACCCCCCGGGTCCCACGGGTGACACCGAGGGCTCCCTCCCACGCGGAACCGAAACCCTTCAGAGGGAAGCCCGGCTCAGGAACACGGGGCTGGTGTTGCCCTCCTGCAGCCCCCACTCTGGGACGACACTTTAGGAAGGGAACGCTGCCCATCGCTTAGTTAGTTAGCACTTGTGTTGGGTCAGACTGACCCAAAGCGCGCCCAGCCCCGGGGTCTGCACATGGGAGGGCACCGGCACCAGCACTGGCACCAGCAGCTCAGCCCTGCCTGACCTCAGCCCTGCCCAGGGAAGCAGGATCCCAGCCCCGGGCTGGCACAGCTCTGACAGGTCACAGCATCACGCAGCCACAGGTAACGGGCTGTTCTCTCCCACGTGCCGTTGCAAAAGAAACCTGCATTATGACAGTTTGACAAATACAGGTTTAAAAAGCCACGTTGTGTTCTCTTAGGGTCATTTTATAAGTCATTTTCCACCCGCTGTGGAATTAATTTGCTTCTATTCATCTCCCGGAGTCAGTGACAGATGGTTTAACTCTTTCCACCCCAGTACAATTTGAGGTGTGCAGAGAGCAACAGACCTGGGCTGGAAACCAAACCCAGAGGCCTTGCACGGGGCTCCCAGCCCTGCTAGCAGCTGCTGTGCTGTGCTGTGCCCCGAGCAGTGCTGCCCACACTGTCCCCACAGCTGCAGACCCTGCTTTTCTGCCTGACAGCTACAAACCCACCTGGAGCAGGACCCAAGGCAGCCCAGCAGCACCAGCCCCACGGCTGGGACAGCCCAGGGAGGAGCAGAGCTGCTCCCTCCAGCAGGTACCATTACATCAGCTACTTCTTGCTCTTCATGAATCTACCCAGACCTCTGGTTTTGCAAAGTTGCTGGTGCAGAATATGCAATTCTGACTGAAGGAAGAAAAACAGAAGCTATTAACCAAAAACCGTTGCCACATTTCCTGTTGCACAGGGACAGGATGAAACAAGCTGCTCACAAAACAACAGCTCGGCGTGGCTGCCTGACCCAAACCCGGGTACTCTCGGATGGACCCGCTGCTGTCCCAGCTGGAAACAGGGACAGAGTGATGCCAGCCACCCCTGGGACCCACCACAGTGCCTGCCACCAGCCTGCAAAACCAGCACCTTCCTGTTGCACCACCCTCACATGCAACTGGGAGGAAAGCGATGATGGGACTGGAGCTGCCAGGATGCTCCAGCTCCCAACCTGATGCAGAACATGGCACAGCCATGGATGCCAGAGCTTAACCACTGCTGCCAGCTTGCTGGCATCACTGCAATCCAGCAGTTGAAGGATCACTATACCCTGTGAAACTGCCACACGATCCCTGCAGACAGTGTGGCCTGCAGTGAGACAGGAACACCCATGGGCTGCACAGGACCAAGCCACGGTGGCCTGGGGCACCTGCAGCAGCACAAGAGAGGTGACCCTGCCCGTGTCCTCCCCATCACAGCCTGCTGCAACCCTGCCCTAACCTACATGGTTTCTCAATTGTAAGAAACATCAATTGTAAGAAGGGACTGGAGCCTCATCTGGCAGTCGGGCTAATGCTCAGCAGGATAAAAGCCGCCCAGAACAAGTGTCCCAGGAAGAGGCTGCACCACACAATGCCCATGGCCTGGGGCTGGGGCAGCCAGTTACCCACACTGGCCTCCTCTTTGCAATCTGTCACCCATCTAATGAGCCATGGGCTTGTGAAAGCCTGCTAAGGGGGAGGTAAAAAGCCCACGGGCCATCACAACTATGGTGGCACACTCAAAAGAGGGATTCTAAGCCAAGAGAAGCAACAATGAAGCCCCTGTGACAGATTTTTCTAACAGCTTACAAGGATGCCAGGAGAGACACACTCCACCTCCATCTGAAGAGCATCCTCCTACAGCCCCTCACCTTGCACAAGCAACCCCCAACTTAAAAACCTTTTTAAAGCAAGCAAAGGCAGCAGCTCTGCACCAGACCAGACCTCTCTGCTGGGAATAACAGCTCCAGGTGGGACCTGGGAGCTCTCCAGTGCTGCTGCAGAGGAGTGGAGGGGATGGTGCCCTCTCCTCACAGCTCCCCATCCCACCACAGCCCCAGCCAGCCCTGAGGAGCTGGCACAGCTTGGATGCACAGCTCAGGAGGTGGAAAACCAACAGCTCACAAACTATGGCTTTGCCAGCTGTAAAACCAGGCATGGGAAGGCACTGCAGGTGGGAAGGCTGAGCATGCACTTCCACAGAACATTCCTTGGAGCAAGGGCTGCTTCCTCCCAGCCACAAACCAGCCTGAGAGACACTGTCCCCCTGCCCCTCACTCCCAGCCAGTTGTCTTCGCCAGCTATTTAGTTGAGGAATTTGAACAGCAGAGCAGTGGAGATGGGCTTGGCCCAGCATCACCACATTCTTGGCAATGACTGCCCAGTTAAGAGGCAGGAGTGGCCAAGTTCTCCCTGGTGTGCTCGGGCACAGGTCCACCACCATTTACATCAATGCTGTGACAATTTGCATTCCCAAAAATGTGACGATTCCCAAAGCTGTGACAGTTTGCATTCCCAAAACCACAGCCCAGGCTCATCCTCTGGCTCCTATGCTAGGATTTCATTACTATTTCTAAGACCTCTTCTGAAGGAATTTTATGCCTCAGGGCATCAATCCACAATTCCTCCACTTACTAATGAAAGATTTGTCCTACAACATCAGAAAATTAAGCCCAGAGAAGTGTCTGAGACTGCTGGGCCAGGGAGCTGCAGTTTAGAGGAGCATCACCCTAAGGAGCATGCCCTGCAACCACCAACTTTGAGGCAGAAACACAAAAAGTGGGACCTCAGAACTGTAAATCCAGATGCAGCAGAGGCAGCCCAGCTCGATGGCAGCCACTGGAGAGCTGGGACACCTCTGCTCCTGCACAGCCCCCCATCCCTGAGAAACCCCCAATGCCTCCTCCTTCACCCAAAACATGGATGGATGGGGGAAAAGTCACACAACAGGCTTGGAAAAAAAAAACCCACATAACTAAAACAACTAAATAACATCTTTCCTTCCCTTTGAGAAGTTGAAATGAGATGCTGCAGTTGACTTTGGGATTCAGAGGACAAGGCAGGAGAGAGCAGAGCATCTCTAGAGGAGGGGAGAAGGCTCATTGCTGGATTTCAGAGAGGCTGGATGCAAGTGAAGCTGCACTCGGTGTTTTGATTGCCATGGAGATTTCACTTAGAAACTGTTTTTCCTGCCACATCCCTGCTCAACAGCAAGAGCTGAGTGGGTCCTCCCAGGGAGCTCCATCTCAGAGGTCTGGGCTGGATGAGACCCCAGAGGTGCCTGACCACACCATCGTCTGTGTGCATAGAGACCAGCTTGGTGAGACCCAGCCCCATGAGGGAGCCGGGTGGATCAGAGGGATACACTGATCCTCAGGAGCAGATTCTGGGGGGGTCCTTGGGCCAGGAGAAGTTCCTTTCCCCAGGAGAGGTGCCCCAGGGTCAGGCCTGCTCCCAGGCTGTGCCAGACCCCCTGCAGACCTTCCTCCCCTCTGGAAGCCACTCCGTGCTCCCACAGTCCTTCTGAGAACAGAGACAAGGGGCCAAGGACAGGACCCTGCACTGATCCCTGGCTCTGGCTCCTTTTGCATCACCCCGTGTGCTGCCCCAGGCAGAGGCACATCCCTTCTGTCCCCTAGTGCAGGCAACATCAACACCTGTGGGCTTCCTGCCACCCACGAACTGGCACAGATGCTGCAGCCCATGACCAGGCAATTTTGGGGCCAAGGTGTATCTCCAAGGCTAGACAGATCTTGGAGATCACCTCATCCAACACCTGCTTGGATTTCAAGCACCTGCAGGGATGGAGCCTCCATCTCAGGCACCACCACACGCTGCCA